TTTGCTGGGCTACTTAAAAACACAGAAATAAATCAAGAGGAGTACAGACTGCAGCTGCCTCATTTCTGTGCATCGGAAAATCTTGTGCAAGACAAACTGATGAAGAAGTCTGGAGGAAAAAAAAAGTCAAACAAACAGAAAATCCTGTCAGAGCTACTGCCAGAAATGCAGCATTTCAAAATGGCAGCAATCCTGGGGAGAGGTCAGAGCAGAAGCTGCACCAGCTCTGATGAACAACTTTAATACATTACTGCATTTTACCCCCGTTTCTTTGTTGGATTTTTTTTTCAAACATTTTAATGAAAAAAAAGAGCCACCCAAGTCACAGTGAGACCAAGCTGGCCTTCCTGCTTTTCAGGAACAACATTCTACAACATTCAGAAAAATAAACCTACATTTCTTGGCTGCCAAGACTCTGGTTTAAGATGCATGGAAACTGCACTGAGGCATGCGATACCTACCCAGGTTGGGCGCGCTTGCTGTCCTCTTGTTATTCTTTATCTTGAAAAAGCCTCTCCCAAAGGAAGACCTGGCCTTGCGGGTACCAAAACTGTCCTCATCTCCTGCGCCACCATGGGAAGGGGACTTTGGAGGCAGGGTCCCAAATTTGCTCCCTTCCACAGGAGGTTTGACCTGCTGAGTTTGGGAAACAAAGCAAGAATTTCCCGTGAGGGCACCACAAACGACCTTCTGAGGGAGGCTGCACTCGTTGCGCTGCTGACACGCGACCTGGAGACTCGGCCCCGCTTGTCAGTGCATAGGGAGCAACTTCAGGATGAGCAGATTAGCTGCCTGTGTCCGCAGCCAAAGCTCAGAGGAATTCAAGTAGCAAGCAAGGGGCACACATGACAGGACAGGCATCAAAACCATCAGCTGGCCAATATAAGCTAGCAGTTTTAACCTAGTAGTGACTACTACTAGTAGTAGTTTGTTTCACCGTCTCTTTAAAGGAAAGAGGACACACACCCACTCCCAGTCTGAACACCATCCTTGAGCTTTTGCTGGCCGGATGCAGCATTTACCATAAAAACGGTGTCTGATGTACGCGGTCTCTGCTAAGTAAGTTCTCCAAAGAGGCAGTAATTACTGCATGTGATCTGTGGGGATTTGTGTCCACCTACTGTGTAACAACAGTCCCTCAAAGAACACAGTAGTTAGTCACAGAAAACAATGTGAAACCCAAGGGTTTTACAAGATACTAATCATAGGCAATTACAGAGTGGATAAAACACTTAGGGGTTAGCACTGCTAATTACATAGTGGCAGCACACGCTGCGGAAACAGCAGCTCAGAGGGCAATTTTCTCCTGCACTAGGCTGCAAGATAAGCCCCGCACGGGAAGGCAAGAGCCTGTGAGACGCTGTAAACCTGACGCTGCAAAGGGTGGTGACAAGCTGAACACACTCCTCACTGCATGAACTGTGGGCCTGCCATTGCCCTTCACGAGGGGGTGCCCGCCGGCACGCGTCCGCACACTCCTCACCTCCGCTGGCTTCTGCGCTGGGTCCTTGTCCTGCTTGGGGGAGATTAAAGGAAGCAGTTTACAAGCTTGCAGTTTAACTTGTTGTAGAAATTAATTCAGTTCACTATGGCTGAATACCCAGAGTTGCATTCTGACCAAAACACTCTTCCCTGCCTCTTTTTCCTCCCCAAAGAAATCTCTTTGGGGCTGTATTTCACACAGATTAATTCCTGCTTTCTTTGAGGCCAGTGAGCTGGCGTGGAAACAGGGTGGCTTTGGCTTACTTTGTAAAGGATTAGCTGTGTGCACAGCCAGCCACGTGCTGCTGGACAGAAAGGAAATAACGTGCATGGGGCTGAGGGACGCACAGCACGAATTAGGAAGGGCAGAAGCCCTATAGACAAAACACCCACAACCTGCACGCCATGGCTGTGCAAATAAGCACGTGAACAAAGCAAAGCAAAAACTCCTGATCCGTGAATTTTAGCTTTCATCACCCAGCTGTGGTTATGCTAGCACTCCTGCCCACATCCCTCCTGAGGGGTTAAGCGCAGCTCAGCAGCTCAGGTGTCAGGAGGAGGATTTAGGAGACTTCAGCGTTCAGCGTTTCAGTCTGGCAAAAGGGAGCACAGGGATGACCCTCCCTTGGTGACACTGTGATGGGCAAACTGCTTTTGGTCACTCCTAGAGGGATTTAAGCTGAAGCTTTCATCAGATCTCCTGCTGCAGGGAGATAGCCCTGGGCTGCCCTGTCAGGATCTCAAGGGTTCAGTGCCACAGCAGGGGAAGCATTTTTAAGGGAAAGGAAGGAAGGAATTGCCCAAACTAACCGCTTCCGATGCCTCCTTCTTCAGGCTGCTCAGGCTGCTGGACTTGTGCAGGGAGGAGCTCCTGGAATAAGGGTGCAAAGAACAAACTGAGCAGCCAGGGCTGAGATTTGCTGAGATAAACAAGGTCCTGAGAGGCAGCTTTATGCAAAGCACTGCAGTGCACGGGGAGATGTGCCTACGTCTGTCTGAGAAGAGTGGTCATGACAGCCTTCCCCCCGACCCAGGTGTGAATGAAGAGAAACTCCACTGAATTTCATAACGTTACCTATCTTCATACCAGCGCAAGAGGGAGCAGCATTTGGCTTTTGGCATATTCTCATGGCACTAGATAAGGCGCTCAAAATAAAAGCAGCTGATGGGTCTTATATGGGGCATGAGACAAGTCCTGTTGACTTAGTTCCCTTACAGACAAATAACTTTGATGAACTTGAAGTTCACAAGTAGCCCTCCTGAATTCCCTGGGCAATAAGGCTATGCGACGCAGGTTAAAATTGTTTTTTCACACTGTAGTCAGCTCATCACCCTTCTCCCAGTACAACTATATAACCGTCCTACAACTCGATTAGAGATGCTCCATAGTGCAAAAGGAATTAAGTAAGTGCACAGATGAAGCACTGGAAAATATCGGTCATGAAAATACAGATCATTAGCGCAAAACCACCACCACTAAGTACTGGTTTGACTGTAGTGCCTTGGCTAAAACTACTTCATGTGTTTCTACGTGTCTGTCGAAGAAGGGAGCGGGGTTTCCGCAGTCATGGAGGAACGCTTGAAAGTTGTTATTTGGCTGGGATACTTACACTGGGCTGTCACTCAGGTGAGTTTCGGGGGAGGAACCGGTTGATCTCAGTTCACTGTGGAAACAAAGAAAGTGTCAACAGAATAAGGCACTTGTGGGTCTCTTCTTTAAATGCGGCTGACAGAGCAACCCTCTCATCTCGGCCTGCTCTACATCTCATTTTTGCTCCAGCTGCGACAGCCCTGAGGGTGCTGGGCAGGGCGAGGGAGACAACCTGCTCCCGCGCGGCGCCCGGCACTGCTCGCTGTGGCATCGCCAAGCAAACGCCCGCGGGCTTCGCTGCGCCAAGGGCCAGCACTAAAGATATCGGCTTCTCCTGCTCTTCAAAACCCCTTGTCAGCCTCCTTTTCCTCCCCAACTTGGTGGTAGCTTACATTTCTAAACATCTTCAATAACTGTGGAAAATCTCTGACTGCAAAGCATCAGAAATACACTGGCATGAGCACGGCCAGCACTGTCCCAGCCAGACTGAGGTAAAGCCTATTTAGTAAAAACAGTAGCTGTGCGTCAGTTACGTGGGCTCTGCTACACGCAATTACAACAAACCTAGTGCTTGCCTAATGAAAAACACACATTTTTAATCAATACCTTTGATGAACATACCATTTAGTTCGATATGGCCACCCAAATGAATGCTAGTCTTCATTAACTCACTTAATGACTAGACAGTACGTTAATTAACAGATCACTGCTTTCATTAAACTTTGTAAATCTTTGTTTTTACGATTGAAATAGTCATGGAAACAATAATACCTCATTTCATTTGCAGCTTCTGGTCTAGGCTGTGCTTTTACTTTATCTGCAATGGTTTCAGGGCTCTTAGATGTTGGTGAAAAAGAGGGGATCGAAACCTGTAAAATACTGGTGTGGATCTGTAAGGAATTCTGGAAAAGAAAGACAAAATTCGTATTACATCAAAATGAGTTGAAATTAAGGAGTTGTAAATGGAAATAAGAATAGCAGATACTCTATGAAAAGAGTTTGAATTAAAAAAAGAGACTTTTTTTCTTTCTTTCTTTCTTTTATAATTTAAAGCCGGTTTACTACTTGAAAGACGACAGACAGGCCTGGAGATAAACCACGACTCATTATACACATAAACTACAGCATAAACAAAAATTTTACAAACCTTCTGAGACTGCCTACAAAATCTGTTTGCTAAACACAGACTCCATGAACAGCAGTTAATTTTTCAGGTTTACTCCTGTTCTTGGCCACTCAAGGGAATTCCAAAAAAGTGGTTAACTGATTATTTAATGTAATTTGTTGTGTGTGCATGTTGTTTAGTTGTCAGCCAAGTCTCCACTTTGACTGAGAGCTCCAACAGAAGAGAACTGTAGTTCAATTACTGGAAAATGTTAATGTAAAAGTCAGCAATTGGACCATACTACACTTAATTCACTGAATGAATGTAATGAGAATTGTGTTCTTTTAAATATTTGACAGGAACCAGTCCCAAGATTTTTACTTCAAATTCCCAGGAAATTTGGGAAAATGTGCACACCCTACTACGATATCCCAATATCCAAAAGTCACATCCTACAGCAACTACGTTTGACATGAAATAAAGTTTAGATCCAGTCTCATGACAAATACTGCTATCTCTTCTCTTGATCCCATTTGATAATTAAGAAAATAAATTAGCCTGAATTCAAAGGAAACTCCTCGGCAGCTTTCACAAGAAATCTGCATTCCCCCAAAGGACAGGGAAGTTTACTAAAACTATGTAACCCAGAAGGCTCTTCTGAAGAACTTTCAGAAGCTGAGACCTGGCTTCCTGAGCAAGGATTAATGGTATTAAAAGAGGGGGAACAAAAAAACACGATACCTCTTCGTGAAGATTCATGTTAAACTCATCATGGCTTGGAGACACTGTTGCTGGGGTTGGGGATGGACTTTTCTCTGGATCAGTGAGACTTGGTGTGTCCAAAAAAACAGATCCTGAATTCAGGAACTCTTCGCCATCCCCTTCCTTGCCTGGAAGGAGAGAAAGACCAAAACGTGATGGATTTCTGCAAAGATCTGGGTTTCCACATGGGTTATCGATACCAGAGTACTGATACTACTAAGAAAATAATCAAAGCAATTGGTATTTTCTAGAAAAAAAAATGCAAAACTATCATTCATCCAAAGACAAAGATCTGATGCAAATATAAGCCAAAGTCTGTTTATGCTGGAAACCTCCCTTGTCTGTTTTTCACTGCCTGAAATCTCTGTGCACACTCTATAAATCGAGCACCAGGAACAGCTCCTGGAGACCTGAGGTTGTCTCCCAACCCCTTTGCTACCTTGACCCCTTGCAGCAGGACTGCAGAGGTCGAACATTTGATTCCTCCGCCACCAAAATAAATTAGATACCTTTGCTCCTTCAAGAGATCACTGGGGGCTCCCACACGACCCTCCTAAAGCTCTTGGGAATGTCGTCCACTCTAACACCTGCACCACTAACAAACCACTAGCCCTTGTTGCCTTGTCTAAAGAAGCTCATGCAAGAAACTTCAGTTAATTCACGACCTGTGGAAGGCTGCATTGGCCTTCTGTATTCTTCAGAGGACTCAGTGACAAAGGGGTTTCCAAAATAAGCTAATACCACACTGCTATGCACAGACATCCAAGCAAGTTGCACATGTTCTTCAGCCAGGAGAAGGCTGAGAGGGCACCTGATAAGTGTCCATAAATAACTTAAGGGAGGGAGACTGGAGGATGGGACTGGCCTATTTTCAGGGATGGCCACTGATAGGACTGGAGGAAACGGCCAAAAACTGAAGCACCAAAAGTTCTGCAGGAATTTAAGGAAAAATTTCTTAACAGTGAGGGTGCCAGGGCCCTGGAATAGTCTGCCCAGAGAGGTTGTGGAGTCTCCTTCTCTGGAGATCTTCCAAACCCGCTTGGATGCAGTCCTGTGCCACGTGCTCTAGGTATCCCTGCTGGAGCAGGGGAGTTGGACTAGATGATCTCTACAGGGCCCTTCCAACCCTAATGATTCTATGATTCTGCATATTCTATGATTCTAATCATATTCTATGCATATTCTATGATTCTAATTCTGCATATTCTATGATTCTAATCATATTCTATGATTCTATGATTCAGTGCGAGGCAGACCATGCTAATGTCTGAAACATCTTGAACACGGGTCTGCCAGAGAACTGGGACTCTCAAAATGCAGCTTGAGCGCTGGAAGGGCAGGATGATGTCGGGGGGGAAAACAACATCCAACAGAGCTAAACCATAATAAATGCAGGTGCCCTGGCAATTTCAATTTACTAAGGAAAGGAAATGTGCCAGTACAAACCTGCTGAAGATCTGGCCTTAACTCTAGCCAAGAGATGCCTCCAAAGATTGGAACTCTGAGAGTCAACAAAACTCAAACTCCTATAGCAAGAGTTACATGCACCTACAGTTCAAATGGCAGTAGAGTTTAAAATCTTTAAAACAGCACAATACCTTTTTTACCTTGAGCCAGTATCACCATGTCTTGAAC